CTCTCTGGCTCTGCAGGACTGAAAAAAATACCGCCTACGAAAATGTAAACGGCAATTATAGTTTTCTATGAAAATTAAGATTTTAAAACGTTAAACTGAAACAAGAACTAACTTTAGTTTTTCTGGTGATGAGACCTATTAAAGATATGTGTAATATTTGTAAGATTTTTGTAAGGACATTTTATAAACATGGAAAGACGACAATTTTTACAAATCCCGGCTTCGTAAAGTGTAAAAAATTTCCATATCGAAATTTAGGGAACTATTAACTGACTGTGTCTATTGTTCATACAACGTAAATCTAAAATTTAAGTCTGCTATTGATCTAGTGCTTTTGATGCAATAAAATTGCAAGAACTCGTCATTGATTGTACGTGGCTAAACACACACCTTAGATTGTATTACACCCAGCATGAACTCAAACGGTTGAACGCCTGACCTGCAAATTCTGCTAATATTGACAGGCGCGCCAGTAATGATTTTGTTGTAACATCCTGTAAGGCTGTATTGTTATTAAAACATTTTATTTTTGAGCGCGATGTCTTCTGAGTTGGACGCTCGTTGCGCTTGTCGTTCTACGTGGAAGGTGGCTCAAGATCCGGCTGAAGTTTGATCCTTACCTTGCATTTTCCAACGTATATCAAAAATATAGGCTGTTAAATAGTATTTCGGCCACGGAGTTTTGTCGTACGTTTGCGTAATCTGAAATTGTGCTAGCCTATTCTCTCAAATGTCAATGTATTTGACGATTATATAACCAAAACATATTATTATAACAACAACTCAGTAAAAGTTTTAGAATAACTGTATAGAATAACTATATAATTACACTGTTTATTAAGAGTTACTCTTAATAAACAATGTAAAATAGCGGGCAATAAGGATAATGTACATAAATCTGTTCGGTTTTTACATGGATTCAATGAATCACAGAATCTTCGTCAGGATCATGACTATGTTAACCTGTTTTTAAGGTAAATTTAATCATTGCGTTGCCGGAGAACAACGAACACGAACGTCTTATTGATCGACGTAAGTAAATTTCGAACATATTTTAAATAAATCATGATGTTTCAAATAATTTATATTAAGAATGATTTAATACAATTAACCTTGATAATTCAGTGATTTTTTAAATGATCAATCCTCGATTCATTACAATGCCTTATGTATCACATACGCCACTGATTTTAAATTTAAATTTCAATGGAAACCATATATCAGACTTATCAATATCTATGTATAAAGTGAAGTGAACGCGAAGAATTCTTGTTAACCTTCGTGGAATCGCATTGGCATCTGTGGGATTTACAATTTTTTGCAATAGTTTAATGCGTCTGCGTAGGATGAATTTTATAAAATAAAATTATGAGACGTGTACGGGAACAAAAAACGTGCATTGCTTTCAACTATTTTTTGTAAGATGTATTATACAATTAGGTGAATAGGTGAATTATACAATTTCGGGTCATATATGTTTATTTAAGTATTCTTTCTCATCATTTCGAAATAAATAAGGTCCATGATTTCGCCAATCCCAAAATACAGATAGCAAAAACATTTTAACTTAAAAAAAACGTATTCTTCAGAGTAATAAAATATCATTTATTTATGTAAAATTAAAGAATATTCGAGCGAGTCATTTTTTTTTATTTCAGATGTTTGTTAACAAAACGAATAAGTTGTATTTGATTTCTATATGTTTTATAACGGTTAATGCATGGGATCATAACAGGGACTTTTCAAATGAATACAAAAACAGATTCGAGGTCCCGGAAAGCCCGGCCTATTTTAACAACGATGAAAATCCTCCAAACAACTTTAGAAATGGATATGAGTTAGCCCGATTTCATAATAATTACAGAGATTCCGAATATGACCAATACTTGCAACAACGTTACATACGACCTATACTAAGTTATATACGAGAATTGTCATTTCATTTAAAAAGTTTATCGACAGTAAGATATCAACCGATTTACATCCCAGTAGTGACTTGTCCAATAAATGGTAATAACAATCGGGCCCACATAGACACATCGACACCAAAAGATGTGAATATATTAAACAGATATCCCGAAGACGAAGACGCAAACCAAAATTGGGGGTTTGTAGATATCGAAAAAGATAACAAGACAAGCAGTCAAAGCGATGGTTTCGACCGCAATCAAAATTGGGGCATAGCTAATGAAGAGAATGCTGAAACAAAAAGTAAAACTGGATGTAATTGTAGAAATGCAAATGTAAGTCTCTGGTTTTCTTCTGGTGCACGCCGGAAGCGATCTTTATGAATTTAAGATAACTTTTTTATTATCTATATTTTACATTAACTAAAAATAGTTTTGTTTACTAGTATGAGACTATTAAAAAATGTGTTTTGCGATTTTTACTGGAAGCGACCATTTACGCTGGATAAAGAGTGTATTTAGGTTTTGCATAAAACTATCAGGTCTATACTCAACCTTAAACCTCATATTAGCATTTATTGGTCCTTGTATTATCTTATTGTAGCTTTATAATCTTTCCACGTTCTTAGACATCCTAGGGAATTGGGTAATGAATCATAAATATTTATGAAATTGATGATTCTTATATTTTTATCTGTTTATATTGTAGGACATCTCATCTACGTCCCATAAAAGTAATTCTATTGAAGCTCCAATCAGATGCAAAGCATCTACCCTATCTTGCTGTATACCTGGAATTACTGAACGACAACGAAGGGATTGTTTCTTCTCGCAAGGATGCCTAAACAGTTACAAGACGGGTTACGCCTGCCTGCCAGTCATAATTCAAGCCGTCTACAGAGAATTTTACGGAGGAATTGTCAGACAAAATTAAAATTTGCTCATAGAACATAAAATACTAATGATTCAAAAAAATATGAAATATTAACATAAATATAATGAAGTATATGAAAAACTTTTTGTTTATTTTCAAACTTACCTGTAATTAATTTTATGGTCGATGCGAAAAACATGAAAATCTTATTCTTTAGTACTTTCAAATAGGTTTCAATAGCTTTGTCCTTTGTTATGAAATTTATACTTTAATATTGTTTAAAGATATCGAAGCATGGAGTGTATGTTATTATGGCAGACACAACGTATAAGTTGCGCTTATTGAATAATATAACGTTAGAAGATAGGAGGGTAATAGCACACTGCGACGACCTATAAACGGAGCAGCGCTCGCCGTGTCAAGGGAAGTGTCCGACCGTCTCGTATGCATAATACGAGACTTCCTAAGTAATCGAACCTTTCGCTATCGCGTCGAGGGCGTGTATTCGACTACGCATCCCGTTCGAGCCGGGGTGCCCCAAGGGTCGGTGTTGGGCCCAGTCTTGTTCACTCTCTACACCAATGACATGCCGCGTGTCAAAGATGTAGAACTTGCTCTTTTTACCGACGACACCTGTATCTATACCACAGGCAGAACACCCGAATTGATCCATCGACGCCTCCAAGCTGCGGCCATCACCATCGGTGACTGGTTTCGGCAATGGAGGATCGAAATCAATCCCGCCAAAAGCACGGCCATCCTTTTCGCGCACAAAAAGAACATACCCATTCCACCCCCCGTTAAACTCTTGGACAGCCCAGTACCATGGGTTAATAAAGTCAAATATCTAGGTGTCGTCCTCGACTCCCAGCTTAAATTCACCCAGCACGTGACCCAGGACAGGAACCGGGCGGCCTTCGTACTCGGTCGCCTCTACCCGCTCCTCAATAAAACGTCAAAAATGTCCCTTCGGAACAAGGTGACCTTATACAAGGCATTAGTTTGCCCTATCATGATGTACGCGAGCCCCGTCTTCGCTCACATTGCTCCGAAGCAAATACACCGGCTTAAGGTGATTCAAAATCGATTCTTGCGCAGAGCCACGGGAGCACCCTGGTTCATGCGCAATATCGACCTACATGTCGATCTAGAGTTGCCCACCATCGCGCAATTCCTGAAGTCGGCGTCGCGCCGATATTTCGATTCCGCCGCCGCGCATCCCAACCCTCTAATCGTAGGTGCCGTCACCTACAGGCCCTTGCCGCTAAATATTTTTCGCCGCGATTACCGAAGACCGCGACACGTTCTCGACTTCCCTGACGATGAGACGACTATCGCCATCGAAAGGATCAAAAAACTTAAGAAACACACCAACACACACCGCACTCGTAATAATAATAATAGCGTGACGGCCCGAGCCGAGGCTCCCCCGGGAGCCCTCGAGCTTTCTCACCATAACGCGTAATAATAGTACGCCGAGGTTCAGGCTAGGCGCCTCGTGCGCCAGGCCACCTCAAGCCCGTCGGAACTGTAAAGGCCCCTAAGGCCAACAGTGGCTCATCCAGCCCAAAAAAAAACATATTACGAGGAACAGTTTGAGACGACTAATATTATCTAGTAAATAATGTTTGATAAATGAGTTATGAACAGTCAGTTGACACTAACTTAATATGGCCCTATTTGTTGGGTAGGAGCAAGCAAGTGGTTAATTCGTATTAATAGTTAGATGCGCCATAGAAGCCATAGAATTTAATATAAATGTTGTTATTTTATGAGAGAAAAATTTTAGAACTAACAGGTTCACATTATCCTACCTAATATATGTCCGCATACAAAATCTACAAAGAACATCAAAAATATTCTAAATTACAAAGCTGAAACAAATATTGTTTTTAGGCTTAAGCAAAATTTCGTTATATACACAAAGCTTTATCAGTTTCTTCCATAAGTTCCGTAGTTAGCTAAATTGGCTAGTTGTTAACTTGACAAACACAATTCAGATAGGTTGGAAATGTTAGATTTTATCTGTCTTAAGTTATTTCAATAATTACAAAAGGACACCAAAAGATGATAGCATCCAATTACACATTCAATCCACCTGTGCGTCACTTATTTTGCGTATACAATTAATCGTCTCCACAGTCTCGTATCTTTTATGCGCCCAGTAGCCAACCATCCAGTGGACTTGTGTTATTTTTAGTATAGTTCATAGCATTCTCATGGCCGGACGTACGTGTTTTGTTCGAGCGGTACCATAGTTTTTATACGTTTGTGTTATTTGTCTGGTGACATATTAGTTGCAAATTATATAACTTTGAAAGTGTCAACACCTCTTCTCGAATCGAAGGTATCGAATTAGTTATTTTTAATCGCTATCATCTATGTTTATTCTAAATTACAGTGTCATATAATAGCCAATTTAAATTTTATATGAGTTATTAAAAAAATACTGCGTGCAATTTCTTTTAAATTAACGCTAATTATTTCAAGACTAAACTTTTGATAATAGATATACATTTACAGAAATGTAAGCAAATACGTTTTTAAAAGTAATAATAAACACGCTCCAAATTATTTACAGATGAATTATGTTCTTCTTGTACTTGGCTTGCTAGTGAATACTGCCATATGTTTCTGTGCTACGAGCTCGAAACGCAGTGATCATAAACACTCGCATCAGAGTGTTCATAGAAGTCAAGGTCAAACCTCACGAAGGTCACGACGACACTGGGCGATGGTGAGACACTACGACAACCCATACGAATCAACCTACCGCTATGACTATAACTTTAGATATCGAGAGGAAGAAGTCCTCAGAGAGATCGTTAATATGCTGCGTGAAATTAAACTAGACTTTATGACACCGAAGCAGCAGCAACCGGCATTTATCCCGTATTTCGTGCCGTATCCAGTTCCACATCAAATGTCTATATTGGAAAGGGCAGTGGGACGAAAGTAAGCGATGCCCCAGATCGCGCTAACAAACAAAAAGACAAGAAAGCACAGGTCGATCAAAATCGAAACGGACATAGAGACAAGGCATCCCACGACACACCATTAGCAGCCAACAAACAGAGTGACAAAGACTCCACAACAGTGACAATTACCCTGCACGATCGTAATAACTTTCCAAGTGAACCTACCGACGACGACTACATGTCTAGGCCTATCGCGTTTAAGCCTGTCACCGAAGCCGCTGCCACTTCGAGTGAAAATCGAGAACCAGGTGATGAGATTGTAAGTACGACACCTTAATTTGATTAATATTATTATTAATATGTGACTCAAGTGCAACGGGCAATATAGTGTAACTCAAGTTACATATCCAAGTTAAATACAAACCATAGGCGTACCCAGGTTTTGGGGTTCAATCCCCACCTCGAAATATTCAAATGCTTAAATAACGATATATTTAAATAAGGATAAATTTTGAATTTACCGCGACGGACTTGTAAACGGTGTTACACG